ATTTGTTACACATTAAATATTAAACAATAGTACAAAGTTAAATTAATTGTACTCAGTGCTTCTGTATGGAGTAGAAACGTGGAAATTTAAGGCGGAAACTCTATCAAACAGGCTTCTGAGATATGGTTATACAGATTATATGACATATAATGAGAAATCAAGGCAGATACGAGCTACTCCAATGCATTTTGCAGGGTAAAATTGAAGGAAAAAAAACCCCAGGACGAAGAAGAATATCCTGGCTTGCTAACCTGAGAGCATGGCATAGAAAGACCTCAACACGCTATTTCGTATAGCAACCAACAAAATCATCATAGCCAGAATGATCGCCAACGTTCGGAACGGACAGGCACCCTAAGAAGAAGAAAAATTAATTTTAAATGACTTAAATAACTGGACTGGTCGAAGTTGCAGCTAAGAGTGGTTCCGGCATCTGAAAATGGTAATTGGTAGGTTTGAAGTATTAAGTGCTGAATCGCTGTTCCTATGAATATTTGCCAACGGTTGGTACCATAGAGTTAGAATATATGGAGAAGCTATGAGCATATTAACGTGTGTATTAAAATTGGCATAGGTAGGCGTGGTTTACGATGATAAGAATATGGCGGTGGTATCAGAGCCGGCCGAAAACAGATGAAACTACTATAAAAATATGACTAGTTATTTAGAAGATTTAATCATAATTTAAAAAAGTGCAATACATTTTTAATAAACTATGATTTATTTATCTTGCGGTAAACACTAAGAGTACGATATATTATACATAAAGATAAATTAATACAGCCAAATATTATTAATTTATTCTCTGAAGTACGGGCCATTACTTTGTTTACATATTTGTATACTAACTTGTGGAACGTTATTCCTGAAGATTTTTTAGTAACATTGATTCTGCTACTGCAACTACGTTGAGAACAAGAAACCGTTATTATGCACTATACCAATATATTATTACAGTTTCTGTAAAAGATTATAAAACTAAAAATATTCGAAAAACGACAAACGTAAACAAACATATACCACAGAATAATAAACAAACAGAATGCCCACTCTCCACGGAAAATTAAGTACGCGCATCTCCTTCGCGCCGACGTTCCGCCATATTTTAGGAGGATTTTAAAGGGAACCAGTGTTGTTTATGTGGTGTGCATGGAAAAAAAACCAGGTTTATTTGACTTACGGCAATCATAGACATACTATACAATTATATTAACAGTTTTAAATATAATAACATAAATATAATATAATTAAACATAAATGGTAAACAATTGCATAACCTCACAAATCATATGTCTGTGCCTCCTAAAACATTGCGCGCGTGCTGAAAAACTTCAAAGGCGGCATCTGAGAGTGGCCCTTCTGATTGTTTATTATTCTGTGCATATACGATCTGTCAAAAGTGTCAAAACAATCTTAACAGTAGTGAGCTCGTTTTTAGTCACGTAGTGCCCTCTCCATAGATTCTAACTCGATGGTTCGTACAAAGTTCTTCTATTGCGTGTTTAGTGGTTTCTATGGGAATGGGATGCTGAAATCTGGTCGGCGAACTTAAGCTAGTTCAAGGTTAATATTTTCTCATATAACATTATGAAAAAACAACCGCATCTTGAGAAAATCATCGTATCTTGAGTTTCAATAGTCTTCGTCGTCATCCGAGACGATAGCATTAGATATCGTAACATGAGTTACTACGGTATTCGGCGCAAAGTTAAGGTTGTGTTAAAAACTTTAGTTTTGTTATAAGTGCCATAATGTGTTCCAGAAGTGAGTTAATATTGAAAATAGCTGAGAATGCGCATAAAAGCACTGAAACGGATATTTCATATCGTTTTTTTTTTTGAGGTAAATTCATACTTAACTTTATTTAAAATAATAACAACAAAGTAAAACCTACTTATTTTTTAAGGTAAACATATTGTTGTAAGTATTGTAGAAGAAAGCAAATACAAAATGTCAAATAAGAATCATAGTAACCGCGACTAGAGACTGATATTAGTTTTAAATGTTCTACAGGTTCGTTTAAATTCTTCATAAAAAAATATTACGTATTTACCTCTTTTGTTTAGTTAGGCTGATCAGTTTATGATGTTAAAAATAATCAGGGTTACTGCTATGTCTGGCTTGAGCAGGTGGCTAAAGGAGGTCGAAATGAAATTGCCAGTTGCCTTTGGAGATTTTTAGATCTCAATGCAAATAGTGTTAAAGCGATAATATTCCACCCAGGCAACTGTGGAGGACAAAATAGGAATTGTTTTGTGTTTTTGATGTTTGTTTTGACTGTTGCACATTTTCAGGTTGATATTGTTCACAGATTTCTGGAAAAAGGCCACACTCAGAACAAGGGTGACAGTATGCACACTGTTATTGAAAATAATCGATTGTATATGTGTAAGAACAGTGGGTCACATTATTCAGAATGTCTAAAACTAAAAGAAAAGTTTATGGTGTTACGAAAATGTCCCAATATAATTTTTTAACTTTAAACTGACAAATACCGAGAATTGGAAAGTTGACCACGAAAAAATCAATAAAAGTTAGCAAATACGAGAAATAAAATTTTCGCATGAACACCAAAATTCTATAATGTTCGATGATGGTTTTAAATGTTGTGACAAAAAATTAAGTCCAAAATGCCGAGGACGGCCTTCCACTACCATCTAATTTCCACCGACACTGTATGATGCACCATTACCAATTAAAGAAAAAAGTTAAAAGGATTACTGTGACAGTGTAATATTAGCAAAATGCTCACAATGTACCATGCATTTTATGAAAAATCTTAATTCAAAGAGTTATGTACCTCCTAAAGTCGAGCTTGAAGTTGACTCAGTTGATAAAATGTAGAAATATTTTTAACTATCGCAATTACATAAAAAAATGAGTTACAGTCTTCGTAGGACCAGTCAATATATTATATATATATTATATATATATATATATATATATATATATATATATATATATATATTATATATATATATATATATATATAATATATATATCTATATATATATATATATATATATATATCTATATATATATATATATATATAATATATATATATATATATATCTATATAATATATATATATATATATATATATATATATCTATATATATATATATATATATATATATATATATTATATATATATCCAATATATTATGAGGATCACTCAGACGAGTGGTGGGTTCTTATATCGGTCTCAAGGTGGAGAAATAAAAGACAAAGTTGATAGGCTACTTTATCTATTTTGAAGACGTTTCGCTTTCGTATTCTGAAAGCATCATCAGTTCATCTAAAAAGTACAATATGAGAACCACACAATCATGGAGAAGAGATGTTATAAGTGTTACCTTAAAAAGACAAGTAGCAGTCAATGATATTATCGAATATGTGAGTTGAGTTTACTCACATAAGACAACAACGAAATATTTGTGATTTACTAACATCTGCAGGGATGTATTATTTCCTGTTTGAGAACAAGATTCAACTTTTATTTTTATATCTATCAACATTATTGATACACTTGGTTCTTCAACAGAAGGTATGTAATACATACATCTTACCGGAGTGTTGACTACTATACACAACACTAAATACAAACCGAATAATTTATTAATCATATATCAATAATATATATATATATATATATATATATATATATATATATATATATATATGTGTGTGTATATATGTGTATGTATATATATATTTGATTTTAATGGTGATTTCAAATGAAATTCAACAAAGTCCAATAATGTGACTGAATAAAGTTAGTGCCGTACACCAACAAAAAGAAGAAGTAATTAAGACAGGTGCCATATCGATAAGTCACACATGACTTAATTAGCAATTGTCTTGTCAAAAAAATGCCGGCCACATGGTTATATTAAAATATAATAAATTTAAATATTTAAGCTTTGTTTGCCATCTTCCTCTTGTTGGGAGATGCGTTTGGTTTGTGATTAAAAACAATGTGTAGTTCCACATCTAGAATATTTTACACTGAGAAATAGTGTCAACGTTAAAAATACCATCTTTAATTATGATGATTGTAAAGAATGTTTTTCTATTACAGCAAGTTGTGATGAAGCCCAAAATTATGTGGCGAAAGCTTGACTTTTAATAAAAGACACTCACTTTGAAGCACCCATTTTTTATTGCTTCCTTAGTATTGGGTCGTTCCCGGTTACCTTTAACTGTCTGTTTGTATATATATATATATATATATATATATATATATATATATATATATATATATATTTTATTGATAATTTTTTATGAAATTTAACAAAGTCCAATAATGTGACTGAATAGTGTTAGTGTCTTATACTAACAAAAGAAGAAGTGATTAAGACAACTGTCGTTTCGATAAGTGATAGTCGATATGACACATGACTTAATTAACAATTGTCTTATCAAAAATGCCTGCCAGATGGTTATATTAAAATAAAATAAATTTAAGTATTTAATTAGGGCTTTGTTTGCCATTTTCCTCTAGTTGGGAGATGCAATTGGTTTGTGTTTCCGAACATTTTATTTGCCTCTACAGGCAGGAATTTTTCATTCTTACTAAATCTTTTTCTAATTTTCTAACGCGCAAATACCGTATTCCCTGTGATCTTGCTTTCCTTAAATTATGTGACCGTCAAGTCACTTCAAAATTTTTTCAAATTAAACATCACTCTAAACTGAATCTTCACCAATTTCCAAAATTCTTAGAGCAACTGGTTTTTCGCTTCTTAGAAATTGTACCCAAATTAATAAAATGAAAAATTATATCCAAAGGACAGAGCTTGCTAAGGACACCGTAGTAATCCTTGAAATATAGTTTTTATTCTTATGATTTATTATTGTAACCTTTAAACCCTAGACCTCTAAGACCTGTTGAGCTAAATAAGTAATAACGTCTTACTTTTTCAAATTGTTTTTAATCTTCATTATGATAATCTATGTGAAATAAGATATTTAAAATATTATAAAAAGTTATACTTACTTTTGCATCTATATTAAGGTCATCACAAAGGGTTCCATATTTTTGAGTTTCATTTAGCTCAAGATTATTAGCTTCGTTCCGATTTAATTCCAATAACGGTAAAGGTATCTCTTTAAAACTTGTTATTGTGGACGCCACGCATATTATAAATATTACAGTTATTACAGTAAATACTGCTCTTACATGGCCTCCAAGAATCTCTCCTAAAATATTTGTACCAAAACATAACATCTGTTGAGACTATATTAATGAATAAGGTATAACATTTATTACTAATTTTCTGTGGAGGTTGCTGCCCAATATAGCTATTTACACGTACAAAAGTACTGCACCGAATAATTTGATTAATGTCATTCCGAACCGTTGAAGTAGGTTTTGCAGCCAAGAAATGCTTCTACGTCCCACGCTTCTTAGTCCACCTATCTTTCCTTATAAGTTGTAGGAATTCATATCTTATGCGTCTAGAGACGTGGCCAAGAAACTTAAGTTTTTTTCTTCTTTATAATCAATAAAATTTCAGGTTCAATATTCAGTCTTTCCAGCACTGCCCGATTTGTGACTCTATTTGTCCAGAAGACTCTGAGAACGCGCCTGTACACCCATATTTCAAACGTTTTTATCTTTTTAAGGATTTTCTCATTTAGTGTCCAGCTTTCCACACGTTATAGAAGTATGGAAAATATCTAAACATTCTAATTCTTATAGTCATAGAAAGATGCCGTGCTGTCAATAGTTTGTTCATTTTGACGAACGCAGCTCGTGCTTGTTGAATGCGTTAACGGATTTCTTCTGAATGTTTTTTAGTTCTAAGATCTTTGTACCGCAAAACTCGCTCAATTATCTGTCCATTAAAAAGTAATGTTCAGAATCGTGGTTATTTTTTTTTTATTTTTAACGAGCATCGATTTGGTTTTTCTGATATTGATAAATATAAACCGTGCGTCATAATAACCTTAGATGCTTTAGCAAAGAGTCTCTTGCTATTTCTCAAATTATTATCTATGGACTACCTATGACGTCGCAATGGGAGGAGCTTAGAAAATTTTTCCAAACCTTTCTAGTTTGTGTGTATTTGTCCCATAAAAAGTGGGAAATATTGTTTTTTTTAATTGTTTGAAGAGTAAATAAAGACTTTTGGTTATAAATATTTATTCAATGCCATTGGTATTATTTGTTGTTCTTGAATTTGTGAGGTAAGAATATCAAATTATTAAGATATTTACTCCTAATGTGCATGTTTTAAGGTTACGTTATTGTTTGATTAAAACTTTAATTATTTTTTTAATGTATTTTAAAGTATAATTTTTTTTTCAAAGTTAATTAATAAATCATTGATTTATTTATGAAGTTAAAAAATGTTTAAATTAATGTTTTATTCCGTTTTCGTTGTCAGTTTCGTACTTCTATAAAAGAATAAAGATATTCGTTTTCTCGTAGTTTAAGTTGTAATATAACATTCTGTGGAAACCTTTCTATCAAATTGCCATAATAAATGTTTAAAAAATGTTTTTGAATGATGTAACAGTTTTTGAATTTATTATTTTTTAGATCTGGGCATATAATGGATAGTAAACATGTGTTAAAGATATCCAGCATTACTAAATTTTCCAGTAATGACAACAAAACTAGTATTAACTATTTACACTACGAGAAAACGAATATATTTAGTCTTTTAGTCTGTCTTTTCACTTTGTTTGGAAAGGTCTTTAAAAACCCTGCCCATTGTGACGTAAGAGCTTAGATAGACAATATAGCTACATCGTCAGTATATCTGACGTTGGTGTCAAGAACTCCATTTAGCGCTATTCCAGTTAGCCACTTAGTCTCTCGCCATAGCATTGGCAAGAGATTACATCCCTATCGTACACCGTTTTGAATATTTATTTCCTCTGACATAGAGCCTTTGAGTTTTATTCTTGCCGTTTGACCCCAGTAGAATCTTAATATTGTTTGAACATCTTAATAATCAATATTTAGTTTTTGCAAGATTTGCAAGTAGCTTCTCGTGCTTAATAGTGTCAAAGCCGTTAGTATATAGTCAATGAAACAAACATACATTAAGATGACATCTGTGCATCTCTGTGTCACTACATTAAAGACAAACAGGGCTTCTCTGTTTCCCAAAACCATTGCAGAATCCAAACTGTGTATGTAATATTTCACTTTCACATTTGTTGTAAATTCTCGTATATATAATTCGTAGGAAGACTTTTGGTAGAGCGGGACTTCTTTGGAATTGTGACAAAGTGGAAGATTAACCAATATTTTTGAAATATTCCAGTTCTATACTATTAAACAGATTCATCAAAACGGATATAGATTAGTCGTTCAGTATTTTTAATGGTTTACAATAAATCTCATTTGGCCCTACTGTTTTGCCACTTTTTGTTATTTTTATGGCATGTTTGAACTCATCAAGTGTTATTGAATGTGCATCTTCCCAAAGTGTTAAGAAGCAATTTCTTGATCTATGTATTATCATTGAAGAAATAATATATGTAATTATTTCAATATATAAGTTTTTATTCTAAGTTTGTGAATATTGTACCAATCTTATTTCTCAACAATATGTTTCGTGTTTAAATTCAAGGCCGTCGCACTTTTCGTTTATTCACCTTTCCTTTGCTTCACTAATTTTGTTCCTAGTGGCTTTGTGAATTTTCTTGTATTCTACATCATTCTTGTGTTTATGTTTTCAAAATTTATCTATCAGTTTAAGAATCTCCTGAGGCATCCATTTTTGTTTTTTCTAAAAATAATTTTTACTTAATGTTTCGTTTTAAGTGTTTACTATTATTTCTTTAATTTTTGACCATTGTATATGTGGATCTGCTATTGTTTTCTCTTTCTTTGAAATCATTAAATTTTTTATTAATTAGCTGTTGAAATTTAAGCAGCTACACCAACCAACACCAACTACATAGCATATTAAGATACTATTGATAAACTATTTAGTCTATTATAAGACTTTAATTAAAAATAGACCTCAGTATATCCATTATGAGGTAAACAATTTAAAACTATTACCTATAAATGTAGCATCCCAGTTAATTCCTCCCAATGCATATCCGAAAAATCCACCGAGCCCGGCCATTATTGTAAACGTACTTAAGCCTCTAGCATGATCATCTAAAAAATGATAAAAAAAATTACACAGAACAAAACACATACACATGTATACACAAAAGTAGGGTACACGTATGAGCACGAACTCGAAAGAGGGAACTCGAGAACGCATAAGAATACACATGTAGAATATTGTGGAATACACATAAGAATACACATCAATTAGCTGCTAATTTGGTGATCGGTAAAAAATATAATACAAAACTCGAGCTTTTCCAACAAATAAATTACCAAACTAAAATTACACTGGTTTTATACGTAGGTCGATTTTATAAGACGACTTTACGCAAAAAGTTCAGCAACTTTCTAAAAGTTACTTGTTTTGAAAGTTTTGAAACTTGATTTGTTATGAAAGTTGTACAAAAGATTAAAATACTATTCTGTTGTCATCCTAGCGTTAAAGAGGAGGAAGAAAAAATGAAGTAGAGTGAGTATGGATGCAATTGATTTGATCCCCCGTCGCATGGAGACGGGCAAAATCACTAGTAGTAGATAAATGTCAATCAGTTATGAAAAGTCAAAGTAAGAGATACCTAGAACAAATTAATAAATATAGGCAAGAAAGTGGGCGAATTTACTCTTTAGACGAAACCGGGTATGATACCCACGTTACAGTTAAGAAAGGATTGACAGATGGTTTAAACATGTGCGTATCAAAAATGCCTGCAAATAAAGGAATGCGCCTAATTATCGTACATTGCATAGAAAGTGAGACATGGGTTTCGAATGCTTTTAAAATATGTGGGAAGAAAATAGAGAATTGTAACGCTGACTACTACAGGAATATGGAAGTTGATATTTGTAAATATTGGTTTGAAAACTCACTTATCCCAAACTTAAAAGCCAAACATTATATACAAATACATTTCCTAAATTCGATATGAAGGTATTTATTGAGGTAATTAAAAAAGAAGTATCTAATATTACCAAAAAGACTGGCACAAAAAAATCGCCAAAGTAATCAAAGTTGTAGAATACTATAAGAAAAATGGGCACTTCCACAGGAATTGTAAAAATATTTTTTTATTGAACTGAAATGACGATAGTGACGCTGAAAATAAGGAAGAAGGAGAAAATGAATTAAGTGTTAGAAATTTTAAGTCATTCCTTTTTAATTGTTGGTATTGACTTTATAATTAACATACCGACAAATTATAAGTGTAATAGTGAAAAGATTGTAGTTTCAAAAAAGTTAAGTAAAGAATACTATAAGAAGAATGGGCACTTCCACAGGAAACGCAAAAATAATTTTTTTATTGAATTGAAATGACGATAGTGACGCAGAAAATAAGGAAGAAGGAGAAAATGAATTAAGTGTTAGGTAGTTTATGTCATTACTTTTTAATTGTTGGGATGTATTGTATAATTAATATACCGACAAATTACAAGTGTAATAGTGAAAAGATTCCCCGCAACAGTAAGTAATTTCTTGGTTCCTTATCCCAACGAAACCTGTTGACACTCAAGAATCCACATGCAAAAGTGACAGATTTATATATATATATATATATATATATATATATTATATATATATATATATATATATAATATATATAATATATAATATATATAATATATATATATATATATATATATATATATATATATATATATATATATTAACGTGCAATAAAAATGTAGCTTGTATTTACGTGTTTTATTATTAAATTAAGTATTAGAAAAATATTTATGTGTGTTTATTTACACATACTATGCTGGTCCTTCGAGCCGAATGACTAACAAAATTAAGGAATAAATCAATTGTAAAATCATTTAAAAAACCGCAGACAATTCCTTGTTTTGCTTAATTATACAATAAACACATTTTTGATGAATATTCAATATTTTTTAAGGCATCCAAAAATATCAATTATATTAAACTCACAGACTCTCTAAGTTCCGTACAGTCAATCCAATATGTCTCTCCAACTAATCCTTTGGTCATCATGATAAAACAAGAAGTTTATACCGCTCAACTGAATTGAAAAATATTATATTCTTCTGGATACCATCCCATATTGGAATTCAAGAAAATGAAGAGGCAGACAACGTTGGAAAATAAGCTGCAACTACTGATAGTGCGGAATGTACTGAAATATTTACGAGTGCGGACGTGAAAGCTGATGTGAAATGTAAAGTACGATATATGTGGGAAGAAAAGTCCAAAGTGTCATCGTCCAAGCTACGCGATAGTGAAAAATCGATAAAACACTAGCCCACATTACCAACAAGTCAGAGAGACCCGGTAATATTAATGCAACTCCGGCTGGGTAATATGCGATTAACTAATAACTTAGTTTAGTGTCACTAAGCTTAGATATTTTTTTAAATGCAGATCTTGCTTTTATGCCTAGATTTTATTTCTGGGGAATGGTCCCAATTTCCATTAACGCTCGTACCAAGGTAGGTGTATGTTTTTATTTTTTCTGTTGGTTAAATATTCACACTGATTCTTTCAGTTGGCTGTTCCTTTTTAGAGATCATCCTATGTTTTCTTTAAAGTTTAGTAAAAGTCCATATCTCTGACTTACTTCTGTGATTCTATTCATTAACTCCTGGAATGCTTCATAACTGTCAGAGAATACCACCGTGTCATCCGCGTATCTGATGTTATCGATACATTATATGTTAATTCGAATTACGGCTTCAACATCTTCTGCTGCTTCTTAAAAGATTTCCTCATAGTATATGTTAAGCAGTAAGGGTGATAGTATACATCCCTGTCGGACGTTTGATTTTGATATCATCGGATTCTCCTGCCACTGTACGTGTACACGATGTTTGATTCTAGTAAAGATTGCTAATAATTCTTGACCACATATGTTTATTCCAACATTTGTTAATATCTTTATCAGCTTGTCTTGTTTTACTGTATCAAATGCATTATGGTAATCAACGAAGCATGCACCAATATCGCAATTCACATCTCTACTTCGTTGAAATAGCAATTGTATGCTCAAGGGAGCCTCTCTCGTACCCACTGCGTTCCAAAAACCAAATTGTGTACGAATGATTTTTTCTTCGCCTAGTCTTATATTCTTTGACGAATGATTTTTATAAATAACTTTAAAATGTGGCTCATTAAGCTGATGGTCAGGAAATTACTACAGGGTTCGAATTTTGTTTTCTTTGGCAGAGCAATAAACGTTGACTTTAGCCTTTATCTTGGTATTACTTCGTTTAAATATATGTCATTGAATATTTTTGTTAGTCATTGAGTACCATCGGTGTTACAAAGCTTTATGAGTTAAGCATATGTACTGTCAGGTCTAGGAGCTTTGCCATCTTTTAGTTGTGATATTGCTTTTTTTACTTCATCTGATGTGATTGGTAGGTGGTCATTACATATGTAGAACGGAGGTTGTTCGGACCTATTATCATCAAAGAGTTCTTGTATGTATTTGGCTCATAATTCTGGACTAGCCAAAGGTAAAAAATTAAAACTCTGTTTGAATTATTTACGACTAACCAGTGCTGTTTTATGCATTGCAGAAAATAGGAAAATAAACATAATACATAAGGTAAGTTTCAATAATCAAGGTAATAATTATAACTCATTGAGAAGAAATATATCGCACAATAATTATAATTTAAATTTAAATGTTGCGAATTCAACTGAAATTCCTAATTCTCCTGAAATTATGACCAATTTAACCACTTGTGATCAATTTGACTAAATCAATAAATTAAGTCACAAAGTATTAACTGTTCCTAAAATTTTCATCTTTAGATGTCGTTTTTTGTGAAGAACTCTTTAAAAATACAACTATTAAATACTCATTGGGTCAATTAGGTCCAATTACCATCTCACTCTCTTGGCGATTCAAGAGAAATGGCTACTAAATATTTATTCAACTTAGAGAAACGAGTACAAACAAATCCTAAGCCTAATTATACGTGACCATAATAAGTAAGTCTGGATTATCAGATAAAACTTGATTTTCTCTACCCCATTACGGTGAAGTAAAGGAATCCAGTACCACTACCAAGTTAAGAGTGGCATTCAATTGATCAGCTACAACAATCAGTGGATTATCGCTTAATGATATTTTAATAGCCGGTCACACTATTCAAGAGAAATTATTTTATATAGTTTTGTGAGACAAAAAACATAACATTATGCTGACCGAAGACATCACTAAAAGGTATCGACAAGTATTAGTAGATCGATCATAACGTCCGTTATAACTTTTTCTTTGGAGATCTAATCATAATTCCGAAATACATACTTACCAATTAAATACGCTTACATATGGTACATCACCTGCAGCTTTTCTATCTACGAGATACTTAAAGAAATGGTCAGTACAATTTAAGGATGCACATCCAGATATTAGCAGACTAATAGCAAGGGACTTTTACGTTGATGATCTTTGCACAGTATATTCATCAGTTGATAAAGCAAGGTACATTAACCAAAAACTATCCTGTGTCTCTTAAATATTCACAGAGAGACACAAATCTAATCATTAACAAATTCAGATTCTTGGAGATACATCAATACCCATGAAAACCCAGCAGATTTGCTCTCTCGGGGTCTGAGCTCTACGTCTTTAATTGATAATTATTTATGGTGGAATGGTCCTAAATGGCTACTGTGTCCTGAAGAACAATGGCTCGTTAATATTTTAAACATCATAGCTAATCCTGTTCTATCTGATCGACGCAAAGAAAAATTCATTTGTTTTCACCCTACATTCACTGATGGACTGGATCTTATTAACAGAGTTTTTAGTCTCACGCTTCAAAGAATCACTGCTAACTGTTACCGATTTTCTGGTAATTGTTGTATGCCTAAGGTAAATAAAAAATTCGGAGCTCTTGATGCCCAAGAATTTAACTATGCCCTAAATGCTCCTATTCGAATTGTTCAAAGTCAGTAGTATTTTAATGAATACCAAGATTTATTAACATCTAATTCTATTAACTCTAGAAGTTAAATAATACGATTAGCTCCATTCTCAGATAACAAGGGTATAATTAGAGTTGGTGGCAGACTTAAA